AGCTTTCCCTTCCCAAAGGGCAGTTTTAGAATCGCTCAGATAGGGACCGTGCTGCTCCTAAAAGTAGTAAATCGTCTGCCAAGGACGGAGTGGCCTGGCCGGTGCCCCCTTCCTTCAACAGCCTTGGGGCCGGTTAGGTCACCTGTGCTGGCACCCTGAGCGGCCGCTGGGGAGTGGACATTCTGCAGAGGAGGGCCGGGGTCTGGGAGGAGTGGCCAAGGCCTGCTCCGTGGACAGCAGGCCGGACCGGGGGGCAGATGTCCCAGGGGAAGAGGGAGCGAGCCCCCCGTCTTTTCAGGGGAGCAGGCCTGACGGGACCCTGGCCCAGTGGTGGCCCATAGAGGTTTCGGTGAAGTAGCTGGACTTGATGGCTTTGAGGTCCCTCCCAGGCTGAGTCTGGGGGAGCCTAGGCCTGCTCAGGGTCACCTCGCTGGTAACACGGGCGGCTGGCTCAGACCCCATGGGCAGGGTTGGGCCCCGAGGGCCTGGGGTGCATGCCCTGCCTCCGCAGATTCTGTGGCTCCCCCAGCCCCCCAGGCTCATCCTCCCACTCTGTGCCCAGCACGGCCTTGTCTTGCTCCCAAGAGCCCTCAGACTGCGACACGGGGCAGCGAGGGAGCACAGCGAGGCCCCAGCGCCCTGAAGGGTCTGTGCACCCCCAGCTGGCCCAACCAGTGCCTCTGTGCCTGGTCTGCTCAGAGGGCCTGGGGTGAGCGAGGCAAAGCAGAGCCCAGCGTCTGTCCTTATCACCCGGGCTCCCCCGATAAGGCCTATGGGCGGAGCTGGCTGGAGGAGCTGGCGGCGGTGACAGCCGCAGCCCTCGGCCCCTGCCCCCACGGCGGTGCTTAATGCACAGTATCGATCCATCTGGAAGCTCTTCCCAGACACGCCCTCCCTGCGGGCCTGCCTTGGCATTGTCTCCGCAGTCCTGGGGGGGCAGCCCGGCTGCCGTGGCCCAGTGCCCAGACCCAGCGGGAGCGAGGGCGCGCGGGGAGGAGCAGACGCCCTCCCCCACGGCTGTGCTGGGCACTGTTCCTGGGAAGGGCCGGAGCCCGGCGTCCCCAGCCTCAGGCCAAGCGGAGCTGGTGCTGCCTCGCGAGCAGCCAGCAGCCTGGTCCGGCGCACTGCTGGTGGGCTCTCGCTGTGGCCAGATCAGCTGTGCCACCCCGGGTGGGCCACTCGCCCTCCCTGAACCTCCCCGTGTGTGTAACGGGAATGGGACTCTTGCTGCGTGTACGGCCTCTCCCAGGGGCAGGGGGGCAGGGGTCCCCTCTCAGATGCCTGATGGCCCCACATCTCCTGGCCTGGGCCCAGCCTCTCACCTGAAGCATCTGTGCCCCCACGTGGAGCTTGAGAGAGAAATGGCGGAAGGAGCCAGGGCGGGCGGGGTCTTCGGGATGGGCTGCAGGTAGGAGGGGCCTCGTAGCTCCAGAGTTCTCTCTAGAACCTTCCCTGCCTCCTACCCAGTGACCCCCGTGGAGGAGGTCCCTCTACTCTGCTGCTGACTGACTTCCCCAAGCCTCAGTTTCCCCAGCTGAGAAACCAAGCTCCCCCGGCGTGGCCCTCCACCTGTGAGACTCGTGAGGGGAGAGAAGGAGGCCCCTTGGATAAGGGACAGTCCGTCCCCCCCCACACACACACACACACAGGGGACACAGCCCCTCCCCGCCTCGGTCAGCCGTGGCCTTGTACATGGCTCCCTACCTTGTCCCAAGGCGGCAGAGCCCCTCTCAGGAAGCTGGGGCTTAGGGTGCAAGCAGCCCTGCTGTGCGCCCCTGTCCCACAGCGTTCCCTCCTGGGCTGCCACGCTGGGCACAGCAGGAGGGGGAGAAACTCCCCCGGACACAGAACGGAGAGGCCACAGACCTTGCGGGTGGCGCAGATGGGCTGGCAGCCGGTCCGTCAGGCACCCTCTGCTTCTGCGCCTCGTCATTCAGAGGTTTGACCTCTGGGCCCAAACTGTGTGTCTGCTCCCCCCACCCCCGGCCATGCCGCCCGGCCTCCTCCCCTCCTGCCTCCCCCCCCCCTCCCCACCGGCGTTGGCCTGGAGGCCTCGGTCACCAGGAGGCTGAGGGTTCGAGGCTTGGCGGAAACCGAGATGGAAGCTCCCGGCTTCCCTGAGGCTCACACAGGTGCTCGTCTGTGTGAAGGAGGGTCCGTATGAACCGCAGCCAGAATTAGAGGCCCCCCCCCCCACGCCCGACCGGTGTGGCTCAGTGGTTGAACGTCGACCTATAACCCAGGAGGTCACCGTTCGACTCCCAGTCAGGGCACATGCTTGGATTGCAGGCTGGATCCCCAGTGGGGGGGAGGCGTGCTGTGCTTCTCTCTCATTGATATTTCTGTCTCTCTCTTCCTCTCCCTTCCTCTCTGAACTCAGTAAAAAAAAAAAAAAAAAATATATATATATATATATATATATATATATATATATATATATATATATTTTTTTTTTTTTTTTTTTTTTTTTTACAAGACTCTTCCTCATGCCATGCCCTCTGCTGGGCTCTGAGCTCTTCCCTGCAGACAGGCGCCCAACTCGCTCCCCTCCCCCACCCCAGGGCCCAGCCTGAGCCTCCCCCTCCCTGCCCTCCTGTCACTCAGCAGACACTGCTAATCAGCAGGGATATTTTTACTTTATGCAAATAGTGATGTCAGGTGCCCCGCAGTCAGCAGCAGCCCCGCCTCCTCCGGCTGCTCCCTCTCCCTGCGGGAGCGGAGCTGGCCTGGCACCAGGGCCTCACCTTCTAGACCCCTCTCTCCAAGCTTCTCCGGGAAAAGCATCCATTCAGGGTGGCGGTGTCCCCGCTTAGACACACACTCAGGAAATCGGGGAACAGTTCCCCGTGCTTGGAAAGAGCAGGAGCGGAGGGGAGGTGCCCAGACTGGGCCCGTGTCTGGTGGAGCCAGGGAAGGTGCCCTGGGCTGGGCTGGGCTGGGCTGGGCTGGGCTGGGCTGGGCGGGGAGGCCACCCGCCTCCCCCAGCTGCCCCCCCCTCACTGAGATGTGCAGCCCTCAGCCCCTGTTGGAGCCTGGAACCTCCAGCCCTGTTGGTAGAAGCAAAAGCCTGCCCTCCTGGGACAGCCGGACAGCCCGGCTCTGTCACCAACGGCACGTTTATTGGGCACGTTCCCTGCCCAGCTCAGTGCAAACGCTAGTGTCCCCACTTAGTCCCCGCAGAAACCCGAGGTGGGAGGCAGGTCCTCCGAGAGCAGAGCCACGCCTCGACAAGGCCTGGCTGGAGGTGTCCCCAGCCCTGGCTGGTTCTCGTCCCCCGCTCTGCCTCCTGGTCCTGGGGCCGTTTCCCGGGCCTGAGAGGCCTGTGGCTCTGACCGTGTCTCTGCGCTGCCCTCCCCAGCCCCGCAGTGCTCCCTCCAGCGGCAGGTCTGGGGGCTGCTGAGCCGGGGGTGTGGCCGGCTACCAGGGCTGGGCTGAGGGTGGCACTGAGGGAGCAAGTCCCCGAGGAGCTGGCTGGGATACTGGGTGGCAGGCAGACGGGGGCGTGGCCAGCAGCCCAGCACAGCCACCATGTTCAGTCATCCTCCTGCCTTGTGGGTCCATAGCAGGCCTTCAGGTCCCATCTCGTTGGGGGGGGGGGGGGGCACCCAGAGACCCAGGGCGGGTGCCAAGGACGCCTCTCCATGTGGCCGAGGCCCACAGAAGTCCCTGGCCTCTGCTCCCCAGCCTCCCACTGTGGTCATGTGCTCATGGCCGTGGGGCCATGAGGTGGGCAGCCCAGAGTGCCCTTTCTCACTACAGCTCGGCCAGGCTCATCCCAGGGATCCCGTCCTCCTGACATCCTAGTTGGGGAGACAAGTGATAAACACCTAAGTGACACATGTGGTGTGTCAGATGGTGACAAGTGCAAGAAAGGAGGAGAGGGGGGGTGCAGGGTACAGCAGGTGGGAGGTCCTTTTTAGTGTGGTAAGGGAGGCTGAAGCGGAGGCCTGAAGAGCATGGGTGGGAGCTGTGCAAACATCTGGGCGGCCGCAGCACGTGCAAAGGTCCTGGGGTCATGGGGCAGGGGGGAGCCTGGCTGGGTGGATGGTGGGAGTGAGGGCTGATTGCTGAGGTGGGGACAGGTAGGGAGGGCCTAGCAGCTTCTGTAAAAATGGGCTTTTCCTCTAAGAGGAGAAGTGTTTGGAGACCAGACCTGACGGGTAAAGGGCTTCTGATAAGCCTTGCGTGTGGCCACAGGTGTGGCTCAGTTGGTTGAGTGTCGTCCCACACACCAAAAGGCTGCCAGCTTAATTCCCAGACAGAGCACACGTCCAGGTTTCAGGTTCGGTCCTGCCCCAGTCAGTTTCTCTCTCTATCTCTCTACCTCTCCCTTCTTGTCTCTCTCAAATTCAATAAAAACATTTTTTTTTTTTTTTAAGAGAGAGAGGAAGAGCCAAAGCCGGTTTGGCTCAATGGATAGAGCATCGGCCTGTGGACTAAAAAGTCCCAGGTTCGATTCCGGTTGGGGGCATGTACCTTGGTTGTGGGCATATCCCCAGTGGGTGGTGTGCAGGGGGCAGCTGGTCAATGTTTCTCTCTCATCGATGTTTCTAGCTCTCTGTCCCTCTCTCTCCCTTCGCTCTGTAAAAAATCAATAAAATATATTTTTTTAAAAAGAGAGAGAGAGCCAAAACCAGTTTGGCTCAGTGGATAGAGCATCAGCCTGCAGACTCAAGGGTCCCGGGTTCGATTCCGGTCGGGGGCATGTACCTTGGTTGCGGGCATATCTCCAGTGGGTGGTGTGCAGGGGGCAGCTGATCGATGACTCTCTCTCATCGATGTTTCTAACTCTCTGTCTCTCTCCCTTCCTCTCTGTAAAAACTCAATAAAATATATTTAAAAAGAAAAAGAGAGAGAGGAAGAAACCACCGCAGGAGGTGAAAGCAGGGAGAGGGAGATGAGAGTGGCTCTGGGCCATGGTGGTGGGCGGTGGTCTGACCCAGGCCGTATGTCTCCAGAGCCAGCTGTGCTGACCCGCCCTGGCGGTCTCCCCTTTGCAGAACTGGCTGCGGCTCTACGGCTACCTGCCCCAGCCCAGCCGCCACATGTCCACCATGCGCTCGGCCCAGATCCTGGCCTCGGCCCTCTCCGAGATGCAGCGCTTCTACGGGATCCCTGTCACCGGCGTGCTGGACGAGGAGACCAAGACGTGAGTCCCTCCAGCGGGCCCTGCCCACCTCCCGGCCCCTGCCCGCCTCCTCCTGGCCTCTCCCTCCCTCTCGGCCCCTGCCCACCTCCCGGCCCCTGCCTGCCTCCCGGCCCCTGCCCGCCTCCTCCTGGCCTCTCCCTCCCTCTCGGCCCCTGCCCACCTCCCGGCCCCTGCCTGCCTCCCGGCCCCTGCCCGCCTTCTCCTGGCCTCTCCCTCCCTCCCGGCCCCTGCCTGCCTCCCAGCCCCTGCCCGCCTCCTCCTGACCTCTCCCTCCCTCCCGGCCCCTGCCCGCCTCCTCCTGGCCTCTCCCTCCCTCTCGGCCCCTGCCCACCTCCCGGCCCCTGCCCTCCTCCCCGCCCCTGCCCGCCTCCTCCTGGCCTCTCCCTCCCTCCCGGCCCCTGCCCTCCTCCCTGCCCCTGCCTGCCTCCTCCTGTCCTCTCCCTCCCTCTCGGCCCCTGCCCACCTCCCAGCCCCTGCCCTCCTCCCTGCCCCTGCCCGCCTCCTCCTGGCCTCTCCCTCCCTCTCGGCCCCTGCCCACCTCCCGGCCCCTGCCCGCCTCCCAGTCCCTGCCCACCTCCCGGCCCCTGCCCGCCTTCCAGCCCCTGCCCGCCTCCCGGCCCTGCCTGCCTCCTCCTGGCTGTCACAGGAGGTCTTGGCACACAGAATCACCAGCACAGCGTGGTCTAGAGTAGAGAGGACACATGGTTGGGCCCTCTATGCCGGCTCTGATTGGCTGGGGTTGGCTGCCTGAAGCCTGGTGCTGAGAAAGCTCCTGAGGCCGAGTCCCAGCGTGGCCACCGGAGCGTAGGGTGGATGAGTGACGTCTGCCATCACTAATAGGAATGGAGGGATTTGATAGCATCCGAGCCTGGGAGGGGGCCTCACAGTCAGGCTCTGCTCGGAATGGGACACAGGTAAGGTGACCAGATCGCCCCGCTTTGGGTGGGACAGTCCCGATTTCTAACAGTTTTTCCCACGTCCCGCTGCGTTTTAAAAAAAAAGTCCCGATTCTCGCCAAAACCGGTTTGGCTCAGTGGACAGAGCGTCGGCCTGCCGAGACTGAAAGGTCCCCTGTTCGATTCCGGTCAAGGGCATGTGCCTTGGTTGCAGAAGCCCTTTACCCGTCAGCAAGAGGCAGCTGATCGATGTATCTCTCTCATCGATGTTTCTAACTCTCTATCCCTCTCCCTTCCTCTCTGTAAAAAAAAAAAAAAAAAAAAAAAAATCAATAAAAAATATATGTTTTTTAAAAAAAGAATTCTTTAAAGATTCCAAAAATCGGGACTTCTTTTAAATGCCGCGGGGCCCGGGACAGATGGTTGGAAATCAGGACTGTCTGGTCACCTTACCCTAAGAGGCAGCTGGAGGCGGGCGGCAGGCGGGCGGGCGGGCGGGCGGGCGGGCGGGCGGCGGGCGGGCGGGCGGAGGGGGCCGCCGGAGGAGCAGGCTGTGGCTCACCCGCCCGCCCTGAGCAGGTGGATGAAGCGGCCGCGCTGTGGGGTGCCGGACCAGTTCGGGGTGCACGTGAAGGCCAACCTGCGGCGGCGGCGGAGGCGCTACGCCCTCACCGGCAGGAAGTGGAACAACCCCCACCTGACCTTCAGGTAGGGGCCCGGCGTCTCCCCTTCACCCGGCCTGAGGCTTCGGGCTTCTCCCGGGGGCCTTGTCTGGAAGCTTTCCTTTCTCAGCAGCCCCCCTCCCCCCGGGCGCCCCGTACAGTCAGTCCAGATCCACTCTGGCTCCCACGCCAGCCGCGGCTGCTCACCCCAGGCCGTCTTCCTCCTCCGGCCTTCGGCTCTCTCCTCCTTCCCTCCCTCCCTCCCCCCTCCCCCCGCAGCACCCCCAGCGGCCTGGCCTGGCCCCCTGCACCCGCACGCACGGAGGGCCTCCACAGTGCGGGGATGGGTGTCAGGCACCCGCGGGTGGGGGAGGAGAGGGGCCGGAACCCAGGCGTCTCAGCAAGTCCCCTGCACCGTCCTCAGGCACCATCCTCCTCGGTGCCGGGTCCTCGGGCGAGGAAAGCCTCCGAGCCTCGAGCTCCTGGCGGTCCCCAGGGGCTGCTCTTCCTGTGTCTGTCCAGCCCGGCCCCCCCAGAGCTCCCGGCCGGCCGGGAGGAGCGGCTCCCACGGCCTCTCAGACCCCGGCCCCCTGTGAGTTCGCCGGCCGGCCGGCTTCCCGGAGATCCGCCCAGCGCACAGACGCCTCCCCCGAGTTCACTTGTTCCTTCCTTTCATCCTCCGGGGACACCAGGGGAAAGCACTCTCACCTTGACCCGCTTTACGGACCAGGAACCTCAGGTTCAGAGAGGGGACGTGCTCGTCCAAAGTCACACAGATAATGGCCTTGACCTCAGGTCAGCCCGACCCGGAAGCCAACCTTCAGAACCGCCAGCCCGGTGGTCCCCAAACCTCAGCCATCTGCGTTGCTCTGTTTGGGGTCTTTCAGCTACATACCCCCTGTACGTTCAGAAAACAGGCCTATTTTGGCACAAGGCAGCCTTCTTTGGCAATATCCGAATGAGTCCCTGGTTTTGACATTCCTCTTTTTCACATTCACCTCCAAGCAGACTAAATGGCTGATATTTCAGCCATTGTTGTTAAATCGGTTCAGATCTTTTCTTTTTGAAGAGAGAGAGAGAGAGAGAGAGAGAGAGAGAGAGACATCGATCGGTTCCCTTCCCACCCACACACCGACCAGGCGTCAAACCCACACTGGGCACGTGCCCTGGCCAGGAGTCAAACCAACAACCTTTCTGTGCTCGGGGGGGGGGGGGGGGGGGGGGGGGGGCGGGCGGGCGGGCGGCGGGCGGGCGGGCGACGCTAACCACTGATCCACACCGGCCGGGGCCCAGCTCCGATCTTATGCACGTTCCTTGAGGCCACGGGGTCCTGGCCTCCAACCCAGTGGGTGCCAGCAGCGGGCAGCAGCCCCAGGCCCTGGGCTCACGGGTCTGTCTCCTCCCCCCCCATCCCCCCCACCCCTCCAGCATCCAGAACTACACGGAGAAGCTGGGCTGGTACCACTCGCTGGAGGCGGTGCGCCGGGCCTTCCGCGTGTGGGAGCAGGCCACGCCCCTGGTCTTCCAGGAGGTGCCCTACCAGGACATCCGGCTGCGGCGGCAGAAGGAGGCCGACATCATGGTCCTCTTCGCCTCCGGCTTCCACGGAGACAGCTCGCCCTTCGATGGCACGGGCGGCTTCCTGGCCCACGCCTACTTCCCGGGCCCCGGCCTGGGCGGGGACACCCACTTCGACGCCGATGAGCCCTGGACCTTCTCCAGCACCGACGTGCACGGTGAGAGCGGCTGGCCGGGCGCGGGCACAGGAGGCCGAGCTGGGAACGCAGGGCTGGGAGGGGAGAGGAGGGACCCTTGTACCCATTGCTCAGATGGGGTAGCTGGAGGCCCAGAAGTCAGAGCAGCTCAGCCTCTTTCTCCTAAGAGGCTGAGAAACAAGGGCAGGCTCCCTGGCAGCCTCAGCCCGCACAGGCCAGGGGGCCAGGTCCCGGGTCGGGCCGGGCCGGAGCTGACCAAGCCCGCTGCGGCCCCCCTCAGGGAACAGCCTGTTCCTGGTGGCCGTGCACGAGCTGGGCCACGCGCTGGGGCTGGAGCACTCCAGCAACCCCAGCGCCATCATGGCGCCCTTCTACCAGTGGATGGACACCGACAACTTCCAGCTGCCGGAGGACGACCTGCGGGGCATCCAGCAGCTCTACGGTGAGCGGGCGGGCGGGCGGGCACGCGGGCGGGTGGGCTCCGCACGCCCACCCTTTGCCCGGCCCCATGCGGCCCAGCGCCTACGGCTGTCCCGTTTTGTAGATGAGAAACTGAGGCCCAGAGAGGATGGGTGATGTGTCCATGTCACCCAGAGGATGCTAGGAATCGAACCCAGAACCTACACCCAGAGCCCCCACAGTGTCTCCTGCTGGAGCCTGCGAGGAAGGGGGAGGGGGTTCCATCTCTGACCCCCTCTGCGCCTGGCCTCAGTGATATTCCTCTTTTTTCATATATATATATATATATATATCTTATTGATTTTTTTTTTACAGAGAGGAAGGGAGAGGGATAGAGAGCTAGAAACACCGATGAGAGAGAAACATCAACCAGCTGCCTCCTGCACACCCCCCACTGGGGATGTGCCCGCAACCATGGCACATGCCCTTGACCGGAACCGAACCCAGGCCCTTCAGTCCGCAGGCCGACGCTCTATCCACTGAGCCAAACTGGGCATGGCGTCAGTGATATTCTCCTTAGACCAGAGGTTCCAGGATCCCATTCCTCCCCGTCGCTCCCAGCCCAAACCTGTCCTGGACTCTCGGCCCATATTGTCGGTTTATCACTTCGCAGTGTCCCCAGGCAGATCTCCTAGGGGCCAGTTTGCTGGGCCAGGGCCTGGGCCTAGTGCCCACGCCAGGCACCTCCCTGGAACCGGCAATGCCCACCTCGCTGGGCACCTGGCAGACATGCCTCACTGTGTCCTGGCAGCCTGGGAATCAGGCCCGTGTTCCTGCCCTGTGTGTGTCCAGCGAGCCTCCGGGGGAACTGGGGAAACCGAGGCTCAGGGACCCAAGCCCACGCGGGGGCTCCGTGGAGGAGGATGGAGATCCTCCTGAGGGTGGGAGTGTGGGGAGGGGGTCTGCTGTGGACAGGCAGGGCCTTCTTTTTTTTCTTTTTTCTTATTTTATTGATTTTGTACAGAGAGGAAGGGAGAGGGATAGAGAGCTAGAAACATCGATGAGAGAGAATCATCAATCAGCTGCCTCTTGCACACCCCCTACTGGGGATGTGCCCGAAACCAAGGTACATGCCCTTGACGGGAATCGAACCTGGGACCTTTCAGTCCACAGACAGATGCTCTATCCACTGAGCCAAACTGGTTTCTGCCAGACAGGGCCTTTCCCTGGGGCGGGCCCTTCGCCTGGGGCACAGGTGTCTCAGGCTGGGCCTGAGGTCCCAGGTTCTGAGGAGGACAAGGCTGGGTTCTGGGGCCTCCTTGCTTCCTTGTGTCTTGTTTTTTAATATCTTTTTTTATTTCAGAGAAGAAGGGAGCGGGAGAGAGAAATATCAGTGATAAGAGAGAATCACTGATTGGCTGCCTCCTGCACGCCCCCTCCTAGGGATCAAGCCCACAACCCAGGCATGTGCCCCTCGCGGGAATCGAACCATGACTTTCTGGTTCCTAGGTCGATCGGTGCCCAACCACTGAGCCAGACGGGCCGGGCACAGCCCACCCAGCCCACAGCTTCCTCATTCCTTGTCCCCCCTCCCTGGACTCCACAGGCACCCCAGACGGCCGGCCACAGCCCACCCGGCCCCTCCCCACGGTGACGCCCCGGCGGCCAGGCCGGCCGGACCACCGGCCCCCCAGGCCCCCCCGGCCCCCCCAGCCTCCGCCCCCAGACGGGAAGCCGGAGCGGCCCCGGGCCACGGAGCGGCCTGACCAGTACGGCCCCAACATCTGCGACGGCGACTTCGACACGGTGGCCATGCTGCGCGGGGAGATGTTCGTGTTCAAGGTCTGGCCCCCGCCCTCCCTCCCTCCCACAGCCCCGGGGCCGGGTTCGGAGTCCGAGAGCACCCTCCCCTCCCCTCCCCGCCCCCGGAGTCGTGCCCGCCCGGCCGCTCAGCACCCACTCCCTCACCGAGCAGCCCTGGGGAGCCAGGAGGCTAGACTGAGGAGCCCAGCGAGGGTGAGGGTCTCCCTGGAGTCCTACAGGCCCAGGGTCTGCGCCCCCACACACACCGCCCCTTCCGCCCAGGGCCCCCCACCCCAGTGCTGCCCTCGGGACCTCAGTGCCCGGTCCAGGCAGGGGTGGCCCCGCTCCCAGGCCCGCTCACGCCCCGCCCTCCCCAGGGCCGCTGGTTCTGGCGGGTCCGGCACAACCGCGTCCTGGACAACTACCCGATGCCCATCGGGCACTTCTGGCGAGGCCTGCCCAGCGACATCAGCGCCGCCTACGAGCGCCAGGACGGCCGCTTCGTCTTCTTCAAAGGTGAGCTGGGGTGGGGGGGGCCCGAGGAGGAGGAGGAGGAGGAGGAGGAGGAGGGGGAGGAGGAGGAGGGGGAGGAGGAGGAGGAGGAGGAAGAGGAGGGGAGGGAGGGGAGGAGCAGGAGGGGGAGGAGGAGGGGGAGGTGGAGGAGGAGGGGGAGGGGAGGGGGAGGAGGAGGGAGGGGGGAGGAGGAGGAGGAGGAGGAAGAGAAGGGGGGGGAAGGGGGGGGAGGAGGAGAGAGAGGAGGAGCAGGAAGAGGAGGAGGAGGAGGGGGGAGGGGGAGGAGGAGAGGATGGGGAGGGGGAGGAGGAGGGAGAAGGGGAGGAAGAGGGGGAAGAGGAGGGGGGAAGGAGGAGGGAGGAGGAGGAGGAGGAGCAGGAGGAGGAGGAGGAGGAGAGCGGAGGGCCTGGCACCCATTCGGCAGCACCTTGATCACCTATGTCCCAGGACCCCCACCCCCAGCTTCACTGAGGCAGCAGCTCCCCCAGGACAGGGCCAGGCCCAAACCCAAAGTGGGGCGCCCGGGGCCATGGGTTGGGGCGCCCCAGGGAGCAGCCCTCAGACCCCGAGGCCGGGCAGGGCGCTCTTCTGTACGGGAACCGCTGGGGGCGAGTGTTCCCATGGAAACGCAGGCCCTTAAATGCCGTGTGACCGGGGGGGGGGGGGGGGGTGTTGGTGTGTGTTCAGGCGTGAGCGGTGACGTGCGTGTACTAATATGTAAAGGAGCGTGTTACAGCTGTCCGTGAGTGCAGAGCGGGTGTGACACAAGGGCGAGCTGCATGGTGTGTGGTTGTCCGTGTCAGTGCCTGCCCTGTGTATGAGGGTGTGAGTGTTAACTGTGTGTGTGTGTGTAATGAGTGGATGTGAATGGATTGTGGGCCCAGAATAACCTTCCTCCGCCCCCCGCCTGCTCTCACACCTCCCGCTCCTCCCCAGGCGACCGCTACTGGCTCTTCCGGGAGGCGAACCTGGAGCCGGGCTACCCGCAGCCGCTGACCAGCTACGGCCTGGGCATCCCCTACGACCGCATCGACACCGCCATCTGGTGGGAGCCCACAGGCCACACCTTCTTCTTCCAGGAGGACAGGTGAGGCCCTGCCTGCGGGGACACAGGCCCCGCGCCCGGGCCCGCCCAGGGGGACCCCAGCCCGCCCAGAGGGACCCCGGCCCGCCCAGGGGGACCCCGGCCCGCCCAGAGGGACCCCAGCCCGCCCAGAGGGACCCCCCGCTCAGAGGGACCCCGGCCCGCCCAGAGGGACCCCGGCCCACCCAGAGGGACCCCCATCCCGCCCAGAGGGGACCCCAGCCCGCCCAGGGGGACCCCGGCCCGCCCAGAGGGACCCCGGCCCGCCCAGAGGGACCCCGGCCCGCCCAGAGGGACCACCCCCTCCGCTCAGAGGGACCCCCCCCCTCCCCCGCTCAGAGGGACCCTGGCCCCGGGGACCGGGCGCCAGGCCCACAGGGCCCACGTCCGTGCTCCCGGCCACAGGTACTGGCGCTTCAACGAGGAGACACAGCGCGGAGACCCCGGCTACCCCAAGCCCATCAGCGTCTGGCAGGGGATCCCCGTGTCCCCCAGAGGGGCCTTCCTGAGCAACGACGCAGGTACCAGCCAGCACCCTGCGGTCTACCCCCCCCCCCCCCCACACACACACACACACAGACACACAACACACACCCAGCACTCTGCGGTCCGCCCCCCCCCCCCCCACACACACACCCAGCACTCTGTGGTCTGCACACACACACACACACACACACACACCCAGCACTCTGCGGTCCGCGCACACACACACCCAGCACTCTGCGGTCCGCCCACACACACACACACACACACACACCCAGCACTCTGCGGTCCGCCCACACACACACACACACACACACACACACACGCACACACGTGCACCCGCGGGGCGGGGCTTGCCTGAGGCCATCAGACATTGTGAGGACGTGTGGGGGGACACGCTGTGTCAGGCCCGAGCTGCTGGGAGGTCCCTGTAGCCTCACCATCCGGCTTACAAACGGAGTTTGAATAAAGGGCCCAAACCCCACAGTGAGGAAGTGGAGGGTCAGGAGTCCCCCCAGGCCCCGTCTGCGTCCAGCCCAGGTGCTCAGAACGGCCCTGCTCGCCAGGCGGCCTGCAGGCAGCCTCGGGCTTGGCTCGGAGTCAGGGGATGGGAGTCCTCCCAGGTGCCCGCTCCCCCCCCTGGCAGGGAAGCCAGATCTCTGTCCTTGTAACCGGGCGGCAGGGAGCTGTGGCTTTCACCTCTCCAGGGTGGCCTCTGGCGAGCTCCCAAGAGCCACAGCCCTGGTTCTCAGGCTCCCTCAGGGCTCTGCGATGGCTCAGGTGACCACCCCGCCTCTGTGCATGATGCCATCCCTCTGCCGCTGCTCCTGGCACCCTGCTCAGCGGGGTACACTCACTGGTGGGACGTGGCAAGATGCCCAAGGCCAGAGAGCCGGTCCAAGGCGGTGCTGGGCTCCGCTCCAGGTCCGCTGCGGGCGGGCTGTGTGGCCTTGAGCGAGACACTGGCCGGCCTCATGCGGGGTGAAGCCAGACTGGGACAGGGAGCAGGGTCCCCTGACTGCAGCCTCCTGCCTCCTGCACTGCCCTGGACGGTGTCAGCCCCGCCAGGAAGCACAGGTGACCTTGACTTTGATCCAAACCTGTCCCTCTACGCAGGATCTGGGTCAAGGACACTTTTAATTGGGTAGAGGCAGATTTGAAAACGCTCAGGGAAGCAAGTAAAAAAGAGGTGGTTTGGTGTGTGTGTGTGTTGTCCTGTCCTCACACCCAAGGATATTTTCCCATTGATTTTTTAAAAAAAATTTTAAATATATTTTATTGATTTTTTTTACAGAGAGGAAGGAAAGGGATAGAGAGCTAGAAATGGCGATGAGAGAGAAACATCGACCAGCTGCCTCCTGCACACCCCACTAGGGATGTGCCCGCAACCAAGGTACATGCCCTTGACCGGAATCAAACCTGGGACCTTTCAGTCCGCAAGCCAACGCTCTACCCACTGAGCCAAATTGGTTTTGGCTCCCATTGATTTTTAGAGAGAGTAGAAGGGAGGAAGGGAGGGAGGGAGGGAGGGAGGGAGGGAGAGAGAGAGAGAGAGAGAGAGAGAGAGAGAGAGAGAGAGAGAGAGGGAGAGACATCAATTGGTTGCCTCCCACACACCCCCAACCTGGGGCCGGGGATGCAGTCTGCAACTGAGGTCCGTGGCCTTGACCGGAATCGAACCTGGGACCCTTCGGGCCACAGACCGAAGACGTTCTACCCACCGAGCCACACCAGCCGTGACACAGGGAGGGTGCTCCACGCCAGGGCTCCGGAGTCAGCAGGTCCCGGGGGTCTTGGCGGAGGGCGGGCCCCGCGCTGACCCCCGCCCACCCGCTTGCCCCGCAGCCTACACCTACTTCTACAAGGGCACCCGCTACTGGAAGTTCGACAACGACCGCCTGCGGATGGAGCCCGGCTACCCCAAGTCCATCCTGCGGGACTTCATGGGCTGCGAGGACCCGGGACCCCGGTGGCCCGACGTGGCCCGTCCGCCCTTCAACCCGGACCCGGACGCGGGGGCGGAGCCGGGGGCCGGCGGGGACGGCCCGGGGCGGGACGGGAGCCACGCGGCCGGCCCGGGGGCCGGGCCGGAGGAGGAGGAGGAGGAGGAGAAAGACGGGGGCAGCCGCGTGGTGGTGCAGATGGAGGAGGTGACGCGGACGGTGAACATGGTGATGGTGCTGGTGCCCCCGCTGCTGCTGCTGCTCTGCATCCTGGGCCTCACCTACGCCCTCGTGCAGATGCAGCGCAAGGGCGCGCCCCGCATGCTCCTCTACTGCAAGCGCTCCCTGCAGGAGTGGGTCTGAGCCGCCTCCCGCAGCCCCCCACAACCCCTCTCCTCCGGTGCTAGGGCCGGGCTGACTGGTGGCGCCTGGGGTTCTGAGACTGCTCCTTGGGCGGGGGGGGGGGGGGGGGGGCGGCCACCAGGCCCTCCAACATCCCTGCCAGCTCTGCCCCCCTGTTGTTTATTTATGCCCAGGTTCTATGGTTCTGTGTCTGCACACTAACTGAGCATTGGTTTCAACCTTCCAGGCCGGGGGTAGAGCTTTCTCAATAGAGTTTAGCTCCAGACTGGGAATTAGGCCCCCACCCACCGTTGGCGAGGCCAGAGCAGCAGCCACAGCGCCAGCCGTGGAGAGGGGCGGGTCAGAAGGCGCAGGTGGGAGCCTGGCTGAGCTGGGAGGTTCTTCCCGCAGTCTGAACCCCAGGGCCTGACCAGGAGCCCCTTGGTCTTTCTCTGCCTTAGGAACAGCTGAGTAGGTGTGTGGGCTGCCAGGGCCACCCCCAGGCCAGGGGGACAGAGCGGGGAGGGGACCCTGGCCGTGAGTCTATGTCGAGTTTGGTTCCTTCCCAGCCAACCTCTCCCAACCCCAGCAGCCCGACCTCCTTGTGCCTACAAACCCTGCCCGCCCCTGGCCCCCACGTACCCCTGGAGCCCACGCCTCCCTATCTGTCCAGAGAAGGGGTTCTGGGCCCACCTTACCGAGGACCAAAGGGCGTCTGCCAAGGCCCCTCCCGCCGGGAGCCTCACCCCCCCCCCCCCCCCCCCCCCCGGTCTACCTTCTCTCCGAGCTCAGGGCCCACCCGGGCCCAGTCCCATCCTCTTGCCCACACCTCCATCCTCAGGGGTCTCAGCACCCCACCAGCCTCAGGCTCCGGCTACCAGTGCGCCAGCCGTCCTGGGAGAGCGGGGGCTGACGGGTGCCCAGGCTGGGGTGCTGGGTGTCACAGAGCATGCCCACCACCTGTGTGGGTGCCCATAGCCCAGCATGCGCCAGGCCTGGAGGGGGTCTCTCCCCTGCAGCTCCCTGTCTCCCTGGGCTCTGGGGGGAGGGCCGGCAGGAGCCGTGGGGCCCGGAGGCTCCCTGGCTCAGCCAGGGTGCGAGCTGCCCCCTCCTCCTCTTCCTCCCCAAACCGAGCCGAGCCGAGGCGAGGCTGCGGTGGGAAATGGTACTGTATCGCCGGCTCTGTCCCCTCGTCTGGCCCCCTGGCCTCCCGAGGCCCCAAGGGGAGGGTGTCTCATGGGCTGGCCCCCAAGTGCGGGTCCAGCAGCGTCCGCCCCCTCCCTCCCGAGAACGGAGGAGAGCCAGCCAAGGGGGGCGGGGGTCCGTGGCCGCCCCCATATGTGTCTTTCTGTAAATAACCTGCACTGATTAAACCGTACGGCCGGCAGAGCGTGGCCTTTGTGAGAGGCCTTGGGCCCGAGCTTACAGCTGGAGGGGCTTCAGGTGACGAGACGAGTCCCCAGTGGGAGTGGGGGGCTGGGGGGGGAGAGGGGACTTGTTCCCACACCGAACAGGCCTCGCTCCCAGCTCTGTGGGACTCCCTCCCAGGGCCCCTGAGAGGGAGGAGCCCTCAATGGCTGGGAGGGGTTGGGACAGGGGGCTGGGGTGGGTGGGACAGGAAGGCGTGGGGAAGATGTGTCATTCGTTCCTGGCGAGAAAGGGCAGGCCCGCTTCCCACACCCTGCACCCCCAGGTGTGGAGGGGGGGGCCTGCACCCCTCCAGGCGGGGCTCCGAGCAGCCCGAGGACCAGCCGGGTCAAGAAGGAGCGGAAAACGATGCCACTGTGGACGCCAGACGTTCCCTTCCCCTCGCGCTCTGCTCGGAGGGTGAGGGCCACAGATCCGCCCAGACATCTTGGAAGCAGCAAGAAGGCTCGCCCGGACTGGGTGTGGACCAGCCAGGAGAGCAGGGGACAGGCAGGGCCGCCCTCAGGCCTCGGTCAGCCTTGGACCGTGCCCCCCCCCCCACACACACACACACACACGCCCAGCCCCGCTGGCTTCTGGGCCATCCTGCACCCCCAGGAATGCAGTGATCACTGTCGTGGGCCCCACAACTCCCGGGCAGGGTCCTTCAGCCTGTTCTAGGCTCCTCCCGCCCCCGCAGCTGCACACCCTCCCCAGCCCCCCGGCCCCCACCCTTTCCTCTCTTTGTGTTGAAAACTGGCTGAGAGTCGGAAATGCTGGCCCTCGGAAGCCTTAAGGCCCATCAGGCCACACAGGGACCTTGGGGGGTGGGGAGGAGGGCCACGGGGTCCAGGGAGGACTCCGCCTTCTAAGCTTTTCTGTGGCAGAAGCCACAGCACCCCGACCCAGGTCTGCCTTCAGCTGAAACCGTAGGGTCCCCCAGAAGCCCGTGGTCACGGGTCAGGTGGAAGGTGGGGCGGGGCGCAGGGGCCAGAGGAGGAAGGGCCTCACTGAGACTTGGCAGCGGGGTCAGCCGGCAGGAAACTGCCTGAGGGGCCCCTCACCCCTACCCCGACCCCCAGACCCTAGCAGCCCCAGCTTGAGGCCCTGCTGCCCCCGCATTCAACAGGAGTCTGCATCTTTAAACTGGTTTTTTGGTGAACTTGGCTGCCCCCTAAACCAGTGGTCGGCAAACTCATGAGTCTGCAGAGCCCAATGTCAACAGCACAACGATTGACATTTCTTTGGAGAGCCACATTTTTTAAACTTAGACTTCTAACGCCACGTCTTCAACATAGACTCGCCCGGGCCGTGGTGTTTTGTGGAAGAGCCACACTCCAGGGGCCAGAGAGCCGCATGTGGCTCATGAGCCGCAGTTGGCCAACCACGGACCTAGCCTCACCCTGGGCCCCTCACTGGCCCCATCCCGTCCGCACCTTCTGTTCCTGTAGGTTTTGCTGATTCCCAAGTCAGACAGTGAGGACACTACAGAGGAGGGGGACGGGGTCGAAGATGAGTCCCATAAACGACCCCAGCCGATGTGACAGCCGGCGGCTTTTCTTCCAGCCAGGTTTCCTTCGATTTTGCACCGGGTGGAGTGGTGGCGACAGCCCAGTGACCCGCCCCGGATCGCTACTGGGGAGCTGGACGGAGGATGGTGGTGGCTACAGTGCCCGGCACTGGGCGGCCTCAGTCAACTTGCATTTTACTCGTGAGGACAATGGGGCTCAGAGAGGGGAAGTGACTTGCCCAAGGTCACACAGCTAGGACGTGGCCGTGCCAGGATTAGAACCTACAGGGGCCGACGGGCCCAGGGCTTCCCCGCCCGGAGACGGATGCTCCACCGCTGAGCCGCCCTGGCCTGGGAGACCCCGGGCCACCAACAGAGCCTCCTTTCAGGCCGGGCAGGGGCCACGCCGGCCGCCTCCTCCCCCGCCGACGTGGCAGAAAAGCCTTTTTGTTGTGGCTCACACAGGGGCCATTCTCCGGCTCCGGAGAAGGCCTGGCCGGCTTCCTGCCCGTCCGCAGCCGCCCGCCCGGGCTGGGGGGACCCCGCCATGGAGGCTCCTCCTGCCGCTCCGCGTCCTGCAGTCCCGCCTCCGGGGGCCCAGGTCGCTTCCCAACCCATGAAGTCACTCAGAGGGCAGAGGGCAGCCACCCCTCGGCGATTCCAGCAAGTGCTGGGGGTTCCAGGCCTCAAGATGCTTTCAGGGCAGAGCAGTACCCGCCTCAGCCCACTGCCCTGGCAACTGGATTCCTCAGGGCCCACGGAGCCCGGGCAGAGGCCCCTGCCAGGCTGCTTGCCCGCCCGACCTGCCCCCTGAACTTGCTTGCCTCTGAGACGTTGCGTATGCTGTTCCCTCAGGCTTGAATACCCTTCCCTGCACCTTTCACCCCGCCCAGGTTGCAAGGATCCTTCCAAGGCCCGGGTTAAGGCTTCCCTTTCCACCTCCTCTCCCTCCCTCCTCGGGGTGAGTGTGTGTGTGTTCCCACCTCTGGCTCACCCAGCACCTGTGTCCAGGCCACTCCTTGCCTCGGAGCCCAGCCTGCCGAGCGCCAGATGCTGACTGTGGCTGCCTTGCTGTGTCACAGGCCGTGCGTCCGGGGGCAAGTCACTTCACCTGTCTGAGATTCTCCCCTCGGAGGCTAGCAGCCACACCTGATTCACACAGTTGGGAGGCTTGGTGGAGCCGATCCTTGCAAACGGCTGAGATGGGCCTTTGTTACTAAGTCTCTGTTTCAGGTGCAGAGACCTGGAGGGCGCTGGGGAGGAGGCATCCTCCTGGCCCTCCTCCCCAGGGCTCTGTGTGGCCTGGAGTCAAAGGTCACCAGCGGGAGGGACTGACAGGTGCGGGGAGGAGGGACATTCAAGTCCCACCAGCTCCTCTCCCAGCTGCCCAGGCCTCTTCCTGCCGACCCCACTGGGGAGGGGAGCAGGGCTGGCCCAGCCCGGCCCGGCCCCTCCAGCATGCCCCAGCCCTCCTCCCCAGGCCCTGGGCGGGAGGCCGGCTCAGGTTTCCTGCCCCCCAAGTGTACCTGACACCCTCCACCCCCCCACGTGCACCCACCTCGGTCTTGGCCAGAAATAGCCTCCCAACGCCGCTGACAGCCCGGCTCACAGGCCCCTCCTGGGAACACGATAGCACGGCACGGCCTCCACAGCACAGCCGTCCACGGGCGTCCGTTAGGGATCACCCCAAGCCCGCTGGAGGCCGGCAATCTCCTCCAAAAACACACAGCATCATCCTCAAGCCCAAGGGCTTCCCCACGCCAACCCCCTTTCCCGATAGGGATCCTGAGGCCCTGGCCCTGCCCTGGACTGTGTCTCAGGGTCCCCAGGCAAGGCTCTCCTCCCCGCCCCCTTGACACCCACCCTCCCCGCCCCGGTGGGGCCTTCCCTCTGCTCTCCAGCAGAGCTGAGCACAGGGTGTTCCGATGGACCCAGCGTCCCGATAAAGGGCGGTTTTGTGCTTCCACTCTCTGCGGACAGGAGACCCCGTCCGGAACAGTCCCTCTCCTGTCCTGTGAGAACAGCTCCTGGTCCCTCTCAGGCCAGGGCCCTGGTAGAGCGGGCCCCATCCGATTGGTGGCCAGATGAGTTTGTGAGCCAGGATCAGCCAATCTGCATCCAGGGCTTGGTTCAGGGGTGGGCCGGAAACTCACGTCTAGCCAATCAGGGTCTCCTGGGGGCTTTTTCTGGAGCT